GATCCAAAATAAGAAAAAGAATTAAAATACACATGCAAAAATAGCATGGGTTCTTTACGTGTTTCATATATCCTTATATTGGGGGAGGGACAACATACAATCTTTATTACTTCACACCAATCCCGATTATACAGCCTTGTTAAAATATAGGCCACAGCATAAATATTTTTATACTTTCTCCCTCTCTCCCTTTCTCCCTTCTCCTAAAAAAGGTAGCTAGCAATTTGTCAATTCAAATATATGCTAGCTATGTGGGATGCTAATTACCTAGGCTATCATTTCTTATTTATTCCAATATATGGACCCTTTTCCTTTTAGTATCTGTTCCCTGAGAAAATGCAAACGTTGTAGGCACTAATATTTAGTTAACTTTTGACTGTGAAGCTTATTAATTACAAAAACATCCATATACATTTACATAAAACCATAGCAGGTGCAGGCAATGCTCAATGTGAATGTAGATCGTCAGCTTCTCAGGACCCTCACCTCACAAACTGCTCAGCCCTCTCTGCAGTCAGTCTAGATGGGTTAGGAACCGTGGGTCTGTGCACTCTGGGCTCACCACTTATATATTGAGTTGTCCAATTTTGGCCCAGCCGGTATGGCTCAGGGGTTGACCATCAACCTATGAACCAGGAAGTCACGGTTCAATTCTGATGAACCAGGAAGTCACGGTTCAATTCTGGTGAACCAGGTCACAGTTCAATTCCCGGTCAGGGCAACTGCTGGGGTTACCAGCTCGATCCCCACTGTGGGGTGTGCAGGAGGTAGCCGATGAATGATTCTCTCTCATCATTGATGCTTCTATCTCTCTTTCCCTCTCCCTTCCTCTCCAAAATTAATAAAAATATTTTTAAAAAGAGAGTTATCAATTTTGCTCATGAGTTAACTGAAGAAGTACTAGTAGCAATACAGTCTGACAATAATTATAGTGCAACAAAGTGCTTTCTGTTCACTCAGGATCTTTCTGAGATGATTTGTCTGAATCCTCCCAACAGCCTTTTTTTTTAATCCTCACCCAAGGATATGTTTATTGATTTTGAGACAGACAGACAGACATCAATCAGTTGCCTCCCATACACACCCAGAGCAGAGATTGAACCCGAAACCTCTTGATGTACAGGACAATGCTTCAACCAGCTGAGCTACCCAGCGTGGGCAAAATGTGTGCGCTCGCTCTCTCTACTCACATAGAACTGGAATTCAAAAAATGTTCAATAAGGCTCTGGATGGATAGTTCAGTTGGTTAGAGCACTGTCCCCATCTGCCAGCGCTGCGAATTTGATCGCTGGTCAGAGCACATAAAAGAATCAACCAACCCAGCTGGTGTGTTTCAGTGGTTAAGCATTGACCTATGAACCAGGATGTCATGGTCCAATTCCTGGTCAGAGCACATGCCCAGGTAATGGGCTCAATCCCCAGTAGGGGGCATGCAGGAGGCAACAGATCAATGATTCTCTCTCATTAATGTTTCTATGTCTCTCTACCTCTCTGAAATCAATAAAAACATGTCTTTAAAAAAAAATCAACCAATGAATGCATAAATAAGTGAAACAGATGTTTCACTCACTCAAATCAATAAATAAAAAATTTTAAAATAGTAAAAAGTTTTTTAAAATAAAATTAATAAAAATAAAAATTTTTAATAAATTATTAATATCTTTTTTTCTAGCTATTATTATTACTATTCCTCTTCCCCATCTACTCTACCCCATAAATTTCCAAATCCCAGGAGTGTTCTAGATTGGAAAAGAACAAAACTTGAAAACCCAGTTTTTGCATCAAATAAATATACACTTTTTTTACATTAAATGGGGTAGATGAGGAAATAAAACTGTGCATGGCTCTGTCCCTATCATATTTAAGATGAATACATTGCTTCATTCAACAGGCACTCAATTAAAAACAATATACTAATAGTAAAATTTACTCTTAAAATCTGTAAGAAGGATACTCTCTTGAAACAGATATGCCTTCCTCTTACCTGGCAATAACATACAAATCAGGCATCATATTGTTTTAATTCATTCAATAATATTCTCTGCCCCTAATTTTAAAAATGCTTAAGTTGAGATTTTCATTTCTCTCCAAAATATAAAACCATAAAAAAGTAACCTTTTGTTCTTCCATTGGCTTTTGTCCTATGAGTCAGCCATTCTAAACAGAACAGTAGTATTCCATGCCTCCCCTACAAAATGACATTCGTTGGGACCTCCACTATTCTATTAAAGGTAAATATATAATTTTAAATTTCATGGTGGCATTGAGAACTATTATTTTAACATTTTCTAATCTAGGCCCCACATAAAAACCTTCAAAATTCCATTATCAGATTACTTCGAATCATATTTGTATTTTTCAATGACAGATTTTTAAGAGTCTACAAAAATAAGTTTTCTCTTTTGTTGTTTTGCTTTTCACAAAATTGTCTAGAAAAAAACAGTAATTCAATGAATACTAGCTGTCACAAAACTAGAAATTCCCATTAAGGGGGTCACATATAAGACATGGAAAAATTATTAGGAACATCACATAACTGCTGTTAAAAGTATTGTTTCTCCACTTGGTTTCCTGAAATACCTAAAGATCATTCTGTACTGCACACAGTGAGCAAAATCAGTTGTGGCGAATGATAACTTGGTTCCTTACAAACAAGTAACTTTCCTCTCTTTAAAGAAAGAAGACTGGGTTTCTTTCTTCATCCTTCCCACGAATAAATAAATGGCAATACTGACCATCCGTAAATTCCAAATATCTTTACGACTTGGGTCATGCCTCAAGCAAGTAACTTTTTTAAAACACTAGTCAAAGACTTATAAATTTTAGGTAAATGGTAAACAAAGAATTAAAAAAATTAAAACAAAGAATTTAAAAATATTGCTACATGGCACTACAAGCTATTAAACTCCTGGGCAGAATATAGTGTTACTAGACCCTAATTTTCTTTTTAACATGGGATTCGTGTTTTTCAAGTTCTTCCAAACAAATTAAAAAGACAAATGATTTGACTATTCATCATTATATGACTTTTAAAAGGGGGGAAGAAAAAGGGTGACTTCTATTTTTAACGTATTTATATTAGTAAAACAATGTCTATGTTTGCAAAGTGTTGGCTGACCCATAAACCACATTTATCACCCATTAAGTCAGCATATCTTAACTTACAAATATATATGTAAGATATCTGAAATATCAAGCAAAGCAAGAATAACAAACACAACAAGCAAGCTCTGGTAAAACTCTGTATACAAAGTTGTTATAAGCACAGCAGCTGATTTCTGAACTTTAAAATCATGGCCACATGCATCCTCCCTTTCCATCAAATTTAACCACAGGAGCTTAGATAAAAAATTAAAAATAATAATAAAATAAGTAAATATGATCACCAAAATATTTTAGAATCTTTCCTTATAAAATGTATTTTAACCATTAAAAACCTCACCCATTCCTAATTTCTCAACAATTTGCGTCCATTCTATTCAACCCTCAATTTATCAATAGAGAATTCATGCTTCTCAAAAAGCCAACATAATTATTGCTGTCATCTCATTAAGAATGCTCTTCTTAGGAACAAAACTCAAAGGTTACAGTTGGCACCCAGACCATTCACTATTTACACCACCACCCTCTCCCCTTCCCATCACAACCATTTTACTGGCAGAACATTCACAAGGCTGAAGATTATTTTCATCTCAGCAAACAGAATGCTTAAAAACGGATGACTAGCCCAAACCAGAAGTTATTAGCTACATAAAAATAAACAAAATGTGCCTAAATTTTTCTATTTTCAATCTCTAAAGAAAGCAGTAACATCTTCCATATTTGCAATGCCCTGAATTATAGCCAGGAGACTTTCACCTTATTAATAAATCGATTTAATGTCATCATTTTGTCATCAGATCATGTCCTCCATACACTAGTGTACTTTAATTAAATCCCTTTTACCATGTTAGGTTCTTCACATATTTTTTCCCAGTGTTTTTCCTATATCATTCCTTACTACCAAATTATTTCTCCATCATGTTTTCCTAAATATTAAGTCTATGAACATAAAAGATAACCCTGAAAACCACAGAAAAGAAAAACCAACACACCTAAAATACAAAATATCAACGTTAGGTATAAACTATTATTAGGTTGTCAAGAGAAAGGTAAGCATCAAGGTATACACCCAAGAACCCTAATTTAAAACATTATATACTATACAAAATTTTGGTAAACAGAAGTGAACACAATATTTACATAGCAAAATAGGCAACTACAGCCTCATTTCTGACTTGAGATAAAAATACCTTTACTTCTATGTATTAAGTAAGTAGCCATTTTAAGGAAATATCGCCTTACAGGTACAATAATTTGATTGACATATAAAATAATTGCTTTAAAAATACTTGAGTCATTTTGTCCTTACCTGCAGGCATGAACCATTACTGCATGCAGTGACTGTTCCATCTCCTAGCACAGACTTGAAGAAGCATCATATCTCTCTCTCATAATGTGACTAATCTGGGGGTTTGCAATTCCTAAGCTATTTACAAATGGCACTCCCTTTTCACATAAAAAAAAATATTTATTACAACCAACGTCAAATGTTTTTAACCTAGATCTTATAGATAGTGTCGGTAATTTTGTGTTACAGCAACATCAAAATATAGGAAGAAAATCTAATGCTAGCATTTCCTTAAAGCAAGCACAATTTGTTTGTTTTTTAGCTAAGTAAATTATTTTTAAAGCCTTCAACAGCTGTCACACAGGAACCCGTGGTCTGCCGTGTTATGGTGTGCATGCTGCAGCTGATTAGGCTTCACTATTTTTTTAAAAATCAATTACCCTTTGTAAAAGCAGAACAGCCTGCCCAAATACACATCTTCAATACAGCACAACGACCAGCATGCAGTACAACGCATTATATAGCAAACTTAACAAGAAAATAAAATGTCCTGGCTTGTTTCTTAGCATTGCTACACCATTAATTGTTCATGCAAGAGATGTAGCTGTACCTTTCTGAAGAGGACGACTTCTCAGAGTTAACTGACATCAGCAGCTCAATCTTCTGCTTGATTTCTGGAAAAATCAGAAAATATTCACAACCAAGATTGCCTGCCCTTGCTTTCAAGCCTTATATCAAGAGATTTTTCTTCTCTAATCCCTTTTGTTCAAAATGAGGCCACAAGATTCGCAGCACTTCTGCTAGGACTGGGATTCAATGGTGCTATAAAGGGAAAACGCTCCAGAGGCATCAGGCCTTGCTAAACTATGCACATGACTGTTTATGAAAGCAGGAAGTACCATTTCTTTTAAGTAGAGGGGTGTGTTGGTTTTTTTTTAAGGTAGAACTAGGCTGGCCCTACAAGGAGATTTTAAAGGCAACAAATTAAAATACAAACAAGAAGTGCTAACAACTAGATCCAACATACTAGATCATTTGAGACGCCTGGGTAATAAAGTTACAGGCTGTAATGAACAGATATAAAACCCTTGGCTACTTCTATTTCACCAGTCCTGAAAAATATGGCTCAGTGAATCATTTTTGTCACTTAAGAATGAAATAGTAAACCAGAACCCCAATTTATAGATTGAAATTTTTAACCTGTTATAATTTCCTGGTTGTCTTTAATTAAAGATATATGTAGTATGTACTCCCTACTCCTTTAGAGAAAGACTTGTATTTTACACCTTAATTTCCCCCTCCTCCTTCCCAGTACATACAGCACAAGTGAACAGCAACACCCAGTTACCTAGCACATAATCTACTTCTCCTTTTAGGAAAGGCCTGACAATGCCATCACAAACAGAAATGTACCCGCCAATTCAATTCAATTAAACAATAACTGCCTGATACTGATTTGGTAAAAAAGATAACAGACTAAAATGGAAAAAGAGGTTTAAAAAAAAAAAGAGGGAGATGGGAAAAGAGAAGGCAAACTAACACGTTTCCACTAAAATATTAATGATTAACCTAATGCTCATAATTTTACATGAATAAAACTGACATGGTCTTATTACCCAGACTATTTCACATGTACACTTGTTTTTTTTTCCCCTTTTGTAAATGGGTTTTCCTATTCCTAATTAAAAGTCCACACACCAAAAATAAAACTCAGTGCCACTGAAATGCTTTAGGCAGTATCAGGATTTCAAAATATACTTCAATAGTTTGGGTTTTGGGGTTTTATTTGTTTGTTTTTTTGTTTTTTAGTGTAAAACAAGTTTTAATTTTTACAAATCTTGACTATGGAAACCAAAGGAATAAAATATAATGGAAAAAGGAATAAAAATTAGTTGCATAAAACACAATAGACTTGTACAGGAATATCCTCTTCATGTTGTTACAATAAGGATTTTTCTAAATTGCTGAAGCTCACAACTTCACCCAACGAGCACTATAAAACTGGCATGAATGTCTAACGAGAGAACAGAATCTACCACAGGCTGTAGCCAAGCCGGCTAATCACTGGGGAGAGCACACAGTCCTGAGGTAAACTGAGACGATGATAATGAAACTTACCTTGAGGATTCTTATGTGTGACAAAGCCTGGCACCTAGTATCATAGTGAATGCTCAGTGATGTCCCTCCTTCCAGTTTAAAAAGAGCCCAGTGTTTAAGTGCTCAATCAGGCTCTGCCACCAAGTAGCCTTGGATTCAAAAGCACGTACCTCCATCATTTTTAACTGCCATATGATTTTGGGAAAATTACTCAAAAACTCTAAGCCTCTATCTCCTCTCCTGTAAAATGGGGTTGATAATTCCTATGTGAGAGGCTGTTGTAAGGATTTAATGAAATAATCCATGAAAGTCGTGTGGTGTCATGCTTGGCACATAAGCCCTCTGTGCTTATTACTAGGCAGGTAGTGCCTAGCAGAGGACAGTCATCCTAAATATTTGCTGGATGTGTTAATGAGGTATACTAGGTGTGTCCCATTTTAAATAGCCTTTCCATAGCTTTAATCCACCCTTTCTCTCTTACTACCAAGCCTCAACATCTACCTTTTTATCACTAGAGTGTTATTATATGTGGAAATTTAACTTTAACCCATATCTCAGTCTCCCTATCTAGAGAAGTATTCCCAGTTAATCAAGTAGCGACTTCACAAATGAGCTTACACTGGAATGTCTTCATGGTAGCAAATCTTCATTGCAAAAAGTTCACACTTCAGGGTATCTATATAAAAGCTGTGCACTGAACCTGAAAACCCTCAAGATTAAACTACACAGCTCAAATGAAGTTTATACCCATCTTGTAATGTTAGAAAGAAAAGTTAAAGCTCTAAACCATTTTCTGACTGGTGACTTTGGGATCTCCAAACCAAATCGTTTCAAATAACACATGAAAAGGCTTCCAAAATCATTTTCACATTTTCATCAAACCTTCAGATTTATTTATAGCTCCAGAAGGATTGAAAGGTTCAAGAATGTTCACAAATACTGTGTTAATATCATATCCTTCCAAGCCCATGTGTTCCATCTACGTTACTACCTACTCAACTAGAGACCCGGTGCCTGAAAATCATGCACTCTGGGGGGTCCCTCAGCCTAGCCTGCACCCTCTTGCAGTCAGACATTCTTAACGCTGCCACAGAGGTGGGAGAGGCTCCTGCCACTGCTGCTGTGCTTGCCAGCCATAAGCCCAGCTTATGGCTAAGCAGCACTCCTTCTGGATTGAGCGGCTGCCCCCTGGTGGTCAGTGCGCATCATAGCGACCAGTCGTTCCACCAATGGGTCGATTTACATACAGTAGGTCCTTCAGTTACATCGGAGATCCGTTCCTACGGCACGATGTAACGTGACTTTCGCTGTAAGTCAGAACCCACCTACATAAGCACCTACGTCACTCACATGGAGCACATACACAGCAGTAATGAAGTGAAACAGTAAAAAAATTTTAAAAGAAAGATAACAATTCCTGGCCTTTACTTGTGCTAAATAAATAATAAAAAACATAAAGCACATATGTACATACGTCGAAATGACAAACTTTTTTTTTTAAATAAATAAATGGGAGATGGCGACGTAACCACAAAACGACTTACATCAAGTCCGACGTAACCCGAGGACTATATTAGCCTTTTATTTTATAGGATGCCTTATCAATACCACCCATGGATCTGATTACTCCTACAGTCTCTTTAAGAACTCCAAAAGCTATGCCACTGAGTTCCACTCCACCACAATTCCTCCATAACCCTTGGGGACTTTGGTGTCCATGTTGGTGTGACTTCCGAAAACCCTTGGCTAAGAACAGTGGCCTCCTCAGCAGCTCCTCGTAGTCTCCTGAACCTCTGATCACTTGAATCATCTACATCATGACCACATGTAGGATGCTGTCACACACACTGCAAATACTTCCCCAAAGTTAGCTGGTTGTTTTTCTATTTTATTCACAGTATCCAGGACCCTATACTTTATTTTTCTGCAATTAAGCACAGTAATCTTTCCCTTTATGAATTATGTCTTCCTGTTAAGTCTTTTACCACACCAAAATTTTTAGAATTGTCATCATACTGTCCTCTAATATGCTTTGTAGTTTTATTTTACATGTAAATATTGGATCCTTCCAGAATTTATTTTTGTCTATAAATTGATGAAGACTTCCAGTATGCTTTTCATGGTCACATTTTAAAACCTTATACCCTACCATACCCCCCCAATTCTCAATTACTCTTCACCACCACTCCTCAGTCCTTCCAAAGCAGCAGTACTTACAACCTTGTAAATATATATTTATTCAAACACCCACTATCTCCATTTCATACATTCAGGCCAATGAGTACCAAAAGAGACCACAGGTCCTTATTTCACAAAGAAAATAAGCAAGTGTAATTTGAGGAGCATATTTAAAATTATGGTTAACTTGATTTTTAGTCATTATTTTGCTTTAATTTCTAAATAATAGTACAAAATAACATAAGGATTTTTTAAATGTTTTTTTATGTTTTTATGATTCTCCTGCTAACTCTGGGTCCTTTGCTGGATCATCTCTTTTCACCAGACCTTCAAATGTTGGTGATTCTTGCATGACCCTCTTTTGACTCACTGACTCATCTATCTACACCCTTGAAACTCAAAACCATAAGGGCAGTGATGACCAAATCTGAGCTTCTAGCCCAATACTCTCCTCTGCACCCCAGAACTATATATCCTTTGACCCCACTAGACATTTTCACCTAGATCAGCAGTTCTCAACCTGTGCGTCGCGACCTCTTTGGGGGTCGAACAACCCTTTCACAGGGGTCGCCTAAGACCATCGGAAAACATATATAATTACATATTGTCTTTGTGATTAATCACTATGCTTTAATTATGTTCAATTTGTAACAATGAAATTGGGGGTCACCACAACATGAGGAACTGTATTAAAGGGTCGCGGCATTAGGAAGGTTAAGACCCACTGACCGCCATGACCAGTTTGGCTCAGTGGATAGAGCGTTGGCCTGCGGACTCAAGGGTCCCAGGTTCGATTCCGATCAAGGGCATGTACCTTGGTTGCGGGCACATCCCCAGTCGGGGGTGTGCAGGAGGCAGCTGATCGATGTTTCTAACTCTCTATCCCTCTCCCTTCCTCTCTATAAAAAATCAATAAAATATATTTTTTAAAAAAAAGAACCACTGACCTAGATGGTCCCTACATGCATCAAACGCAACGTCTAACCAACACTAACTTCACCAACTTCTCCATATAAGGCAGTGGTTTTCAACCTCCCTAATGCCACGACCCTTTAATACAGTTCCTCATGTTGTGGTGACCCCCAGCCACAAAATTATTTTTGTTGCTACTTCATAACTGTAATTTTGCTACTGTTATGAATCGTAATGTAAATATCTGATATGCAGGATGTATTTTCATTGTTACAGATTGAACATAATTAAAGCATAGTGATTAATCACAAAAACAATATGTAATTATATATGTGTTTTCCGATGGTCTAGGCGACCCCTGTGAAAGGGTCGTTCGACCACCAAAGGGGTTGAGACCCACAGGTTGAGAACTGCTGATCTAATGCCTCATTTTGTCCTCCTCTCAGGGAACAGCAGCAGCATTGCCCCTCCAAGCCAGGCATTTTTGAAGGATCCTAGACTGATCCCCTTGCCTCATTTGAAACATTATTACTGCCATTCTCCTTTTTATTATATTTTATGCTCTGGAAATGCTGAGCTCTACTCTGTGATTCCCCAAACACATCACGTTTTCTCACACTACCAAGTCTTTTCTTACTCAGTTTCCTCTCCCTAGAATGCCATGTCCAGTTTGTTTCCCTT